TTCGCTTCATCTGAGACAAAAGGGAAGCATTTCTGCACAAATAATTTTACAGGCTGATTAGATAACAGTTGCTGACACAGACTGCATTCAATAAGAAGAGTATAACATAAGACTGTCAGAGTAAGTGCAGCTGAAGAAGAGCATCTGTTTCTGTTCTCTGTGTCTGTTGGATCCATATGGAGCCTGTGGAACAGAGTGTTCACTCTGTTCTCTCAGGGTTTGATGCTTGTGTGTAAGTGAAGCCTTTCTTTTTTTTTTTAACAGACAAGAGCAGAAATGTATTATTGATTTTATGGTGGACTGAGTGTTTCATTGCAGGATTGAAAAAAGTTGTCACGTAATTTCACGTCATGCCTGCACACTGACCACGTAGCCCACTGCAGTGAGATTTGGTGCCTGTTCTGTTTGTCCTCTTTTTTTAAATCATGTTTTACTTTGAATAAAGAGTTCAGTTAATGATGTTTGTGCCGTAAAGATGGTTGAGCTCACTGGTCTGTCAATTTGTAGTCATCTCAACAGGACTTCTCAAACTGAAACTACATGGTACTAATGAACACAATAAATGTTAACATGTCACCTTTGGCTCTTTTGTTCTGCTGCCTTTAGTTCAGAGCTACATGTGGATTCAATTTTTATACATCAGTTAAAAAAAAAAAAAAAGGAAAAAAAGGAAAAGGACACGATGATCCCACTGCTTCAGTTATGTTTTGGCGCCACCCACTGGCTAAGACTTGAACATCATTTGAAAATTTGAACTTCTCAATAAACTTTTGAAGTTACAGTTCAAGGCAACTTATTTCTACTTACAGATGGTTTTGTTTACAGTGAGTGAGTCTGCTCCATTTGTACATAAAGAAAAAGCACAGGACAAAAATATGACAGATCAAAACAACAACAGTACTCAGTGCTACAGGGTAACCCTCATTAAAAACAAGATAAAGCATGATCAAAAAAGCGATCAGTAAAAGCACAGTGGTACAAAAAAAAGGAAAGAAATTGAACTGGTAAGTAAAGCAGGTTTAAATGTCACAGCAGAGAAAATACGATAAAGGAAAGCGATGTAAAAAAAAAAACCTTAAATAGTCAATAATAATGCATAACATGACTAGAGTATTATAGCTAAATTCCTGTGGCTTACTGATCTCTCTGATGATTGCTGGGACAAAGGTGTTTATATATCACAGTTTTACAGTGTAAAAGTGTGTGCCAAATATGTGCCTAAATACACCCCCTTTTTACACAAACACACACCAATAGGTGCGCACTGAGATGCAAAGTTGCACTGCACACCGAGGGGCTTAGCAGCAGGTGTGAGATGGGACCTTCAGTCTCTTTTCCAGGAGGACCAATCTTATTTACTTTTCTTAACTGCCAGGTCAAATGGCAGCAAAATGTATTTTGTGTGCCTCAGTCTTTGTTATCTGTGGATATGGTCAGTGGTTATGTTTGAGGACAAATAAAGCACCAGCCTTAATTGGGATCATGTGTCTGTTTTTCCATGTATCTGTGAGAGTGCCCATCAAAGACAGTGCCTAATAGAGAGCCTGATGATGTCTCTTCTGTGTCCTTAAAATACCAGTTAACCTTTACAGAGCACCACACCTTATTAATAGACAAATATGTATTCTGAGAAATGGTGCTTTGCATTGGGTGTATAAAATACCCTGTGACTGTAGTGTATCATTACTTTCAGCAGCCCTCTTACAAATATTAGCCTTTCAACCACAGTTATGATTACAGACCTGTCAAGCAAGTTACGTGTACTATCACTTCTCTGTCAGTGTTACTTCATGATGATCATGGAGAAAAGGGAAGCCTGTGGTTCATGCCTAAATAATTTTCATTATATTAACAAAAAAAAAACAGAACAAAAAAAAAAAAAAACAGGTAGGTGTGTATGCTCTCTTCTATTGAAGTCTCATGTTGGGGTTGTTTCAGGTTTAGCAGCTCAGCTCTGTAGGGCTGTGTTTTGCAGCAGTAATCTTAGATTCACAGAGTTCTTTAAGAAGGTCAGGATACCAGACCTGGACTTTCAACATCAGTGTATCAAAGGTAAGTCATCAAAAAGTTTAGACCTGATTTTAGCTTGTTGCAGTCTTTGGGTATAACCAGCTTTTATCTGATACTGATAATGGATACTGGTATAATTCTTAAAGATTCTGACCTGTGTTTGCTCTGGTGCGGCTAAGGTGTGCTGGTTGCTTATACTTATCTTACTTTTCTTCTAGTTTTCTGATGTACAGGAGTATGTGACCGCACTGCATACATGAACTATGTTTATAATGCCAACAATTTTTTTACAAATTATGAGTATGATTTTTATAACCATTATTTTTGTATTTGAAATAGGACTGGGTGATATATCGGTATAAAAATATTTATTGATGTATTTTTAAATGAGATATGGAATTGGACCATATCACATATATCCATATACAGATATCAGATGATGTTGTTGACAGGCTGGATCTCACACAAAATCTTTCACCCATTTAAACCTGGACAGCATGTATGCATTTCAACCTTAAAAGCCAGAGGCGCCACTGATTATTTCCACCCTTGAAGCGGGGGGGCGCGAATACATCATTTTGTGACATTCTGTAGTTTTTCAATCATTTCTGTAGTCGTGGTGAATCAAATCATCATACCTGTCTTTCTCTGATAGGCTAATAAAGCTTAATAAAGCAACCGGATTCATGCTCGGATCTTGCCACGTGCTTCGTGAGGAAAGTAAACAATGACGGAGGCAGAGAGCAGCTTCAGAGGAGAAGCATCCAGCAGAGCAAACAACCTCTTCATACTGAGGTCTTTGGCTCACACTATCGGCGTTTTCTGCGAGTGTTGCATGACTTTGGGTGAGCACAGACATGAACACACTGTCAGCCACTTATTTATTTATGTATTTATTTTTAGTTTTTAGTGCTGCTTTTGTACTGGCACTATACTAGGGCAGCTGCATACCCTTTCAACACTTTATTTTTTATATTTACATTTGTATTGATGGACACTTTATCATGACTGCCACTTGTTTTACAGAGAGCAAATTATTAGTTACTATTATTAGTTGTTTTTTCAAGGTTTTCAAAATTGTGATGTAGATTCAGAAAATTAAAAGACAGTTATCTTGAAAGCCCCACGTGTAAGCTCTCAAATACTTTTAAAATTTTGTTTTTATCTTCAACAGAGGCTGAGATATCAGCTTTTTTGTAAACCTCAACACTTGAGAAAACCTCAGAATCAGGGGGCCCTTCTCAAAATTGCCCTCAGGATTTAAGAGTCTCAAACAGGGTTCAGGTCTGGGTAATAAAAAAGTAAAAAAGAAGTAGTAAAAAAGAAAGAGGGGGAAATGTTTACTGAGTTCATAATCTGTCATAGTCCTGTGGAACTGGTTGAGACTGTTAACAATTTTCTTAAACTGAGCACTTTATTTTGTTCTGTCTTTATACATGTAAATGATGCCCTTACTGGGGTTTGTCATATTTAATTCTTTTGTAATGTTTGTTGTTTGCATCTGTGGATTTGTTAGAGAGAAGAAGAAAATCTGCTATTTGATTTTAATAGGCCTTATATAGTTGTCAAAATGTTGAGGCTTGTCTCATATATGAAATACATTATTTTTAGAAAAAGGTTGGCCTATTTAACTTTATGGGACATTTTTATTTAAGATATATTTTTCATTTAAATGTGTACATTATGGAGCTCCAATTAAAAAAAAAAAGGTACTCCTGTCGTTACACAATGTTTACATTTTATTGTTCTTTGAACAGCTGAGTATAATTTCATCCAGCCAGTTTAAATAGAACCACTTGTGACATGTCATATTTGGCTTTGGCTGTGACTAAACAGTTGCTCTCACTTTGCGATAACAATATTGGGATATATATCGTGTACTGATAGTCAGCCTAAATATATCGGAGATGACTTTTGGTCCATATCGCCCAGCCCTAATTTGAGAACATAATGTCAAAATTCATAAAAAATTACCCTATAACCCTAACCCCTAGCACAAATGATCTGCCAATCTGCTACCATGCAGCCCATCTCAGCTGGCCATTCCACTCATCATCTGGCTTTAAATGCAGATGATGTGCTCGTATTTAAGGAGAACCCAGTCCAATCCCTTAATACTCTGCTCAACATCTGTAGTGAGTTTGGCGAGCTATCTGGTTCCAAAATTAATTGGAATGCCTTATTACCCCTTAACGACACAGCTACAGCACTGCAATTTCCATATAATATTATACACCTGTTGTACAACAATTTAAATATCTTGGAGTTCATATTTTCCAGACCCTGAACTGCATTATTTCCCACAACTACTTAAGGATTTGGCATGCAGTTGAATCGGATCTGGACAGATGGACCAGCCTCCCTAAAGGTCCTTACACACCAGGCGCGAATTCGCCAGGCGAATTATTCGCCTTTTTTAAAAACAGCATGAAGTCAATGCAAGCTTCCACACCGGCTGCAATTTTTCCACAAGGCGAAAAGCGTCTATTATTTTTTCGCTCTTGTGTCGAATTTTTCTGAGATTCACAGGCGAATATCTGGACCTGCTAGACCCCTGGCCAATCAAAAGTCATGTTGTTGATGACGTCACAGACCCATGCGGCTGCAGTTCACACGAGCCACACCACCACAGGCACCAAGAGCAACAATGGGAGAGAGTGTGTACCACAGAGTGGTCGCCCGGTGTGTATAAGCGAAAGCGATTTTTTGGGACAGGCGAATATTTTCGCATTTTCGTCTCGCTTTTTAGCTTCGCTCCACAAATTCGCTGGTGTGTAAGGACCTTTACTCTTTAAGTCCGTATTTCCATTGTAAAAATGAATATCTTACCTGAATTAATTTTGTGTGCTCTATGATTCCCCTCCCAACTCCTTCTAATTACCATAAGAAAATTAATTCTTGTGTTTCACAATTTATTTAAAATAGAAAGTGGCCTCGCTTAACACTGACAACCTTACAGAGAGGTAGAAGAAATGGGGGTCTGGCAGTACCTGATGCAGCTCCCTCCAATAACAGCATGAGTCACAAGATCTTGATTAAAATACGGGGTCTAAGACCAATCCTGTGAGTAGTCTGTGAAGATAAGTGGAAACAAATACACAATAAATTGAATGAAATGGCTGTTATCATAAATGTAGCTTCCACGCCATAGAACACAAAATAGTTAATCAAATTCGAATCATACTACGAATTTCCCAACCCATGCATAACTGCGTGTAAAAAACACATATACTGCACAATATTAACGTTTTCATTGCATAGAAATTTAGGCGCGTAATGCATAGCGCTTCATTCATTTAAGCTAGGAGGTGTTAATCGCGACACAAACTCGACGAAAATACACATACCTCGTAGGCTGCTTGTTATTAAAGGGGTCTGCATATTGGATCTTCTTCCTGTATTCTTTTCTTCTTCTTAATTCTTGAAACTTGTCTGGGCTTAAATGAACCTGTTGCTTTTACCGATTTTCTGTAGCGCTACCTTCGGAGGCGTTTTGATCGTTTTTATACCGGGAGGAAACTCTTAGTTCCGCCTGAATTCAACTTCATGTTAAAGGAAGAAATGGATGGACAACCAAAAACTGACGACTGAATAATGATGACAGGCAGTTACACCTGATTTTAACCCTCATGTTGTGTTCGTTTCATGTTAAACATTTTTATGTTCCCGGTCAAAAATAATCATAAAAACTGTAGTAATACATAAACAATCACTTCTTGTGTGTTTTATAATTATTAACTTAAGTTGGTGTAAACATTTCAAGTTTCGAAGTCCTATTTGTTATTTATGGCCAGTAGGCCTAATTCTTTCTCTTGAGAAACTGCACTTAACAACTTCATTATACTCAAAGATCAATGTCTTCAAAACACAAATAATAACATTACATTAGTTTTTCAGATGTTTTTTGCCTGATATCAGAATGAAAACTGTTAAGGGGATATTCCGGCATAAAATTAAGTTAGGGTCAAACATACCCTAACATACCCTGTGTGTGTGTGTGTGTGTGTGTGTGTGTGTGCGTGTGTGTGTGTGTGTGTGTGTGTGTGTGTGTGTGTGTGTGTGACAAATAGTGATTCACCTGAGTTCAGTTTTTTTTTTACAATTCTGTTGTCTCCCCCATTCGTTTCTGATGAGCGGTCATTTTTGACCGTGAACAACAAGATTGTATAAAAGTTTGATAAAACCCGCAAGACCATCTCAAAATTAGTAAAATTTTGTTTGTATGTTGAAATCCTCATTGTGGACAAAGTCATGGAGTTTCAGGTCGGTCTGATCAAATCAACTACATTTTTGAGAGATAAAACTTTCAAATCTGTCAAATTTGACCGGAACACAACGTGAGGGTTAAGTTGTATCTCTATTCCTTTGTTTTTAGATCTTTTTTTGTGTGGGCTAATGCTGAAATATCTGTCTCTTGGCGTGAATTAGAGGAAGATATTGTAAACTCCGTTTTGGTCCAATAGTCCCTCTATCTTATTCAGACCTGGCGCATGGTTGAATCCCTATCTGGAAAATCATGTAAGTGGCACACGATCTCTCCAATATTCCACAACAAGAGCCTTGTGATTGGAGGTAGACCCATCACAGCATCTCTTCAGAGTAACAGTTGCATTCGATATCTAGGCAACATTTTTAATGATTCAGGTTTGCTATCTTTTCAGGATGTGAGAGACATTTTGGCCTTGCTGCCCTCCTCATTATTCTCTCAAATTAGACATGCTCTCAACACACACAGAATTCCCCTACAGCAAGCCTCTTTATAATTTGATTGCTACACATGACAGCGGTTTAGTTTCCAAATTGTACTCTTCTTACACTGATTTACCTCTGGACAGGATATGGAGGAATGATCACCCTGCTTTAGATCCTGAATATGAGTGGGAGCAGGTCTGGAGAAATATCAGGGAGGCTTCCCACAACCCAGACCACCAGATTTACTTTTTTTATGTCCACAGAACTTATTGCACTCCACATAGACTACATACTATGAAATTGATAAACGATTTGCCTTGCAGCCTTTGCAATGTGGGTGGGAGGGAAGGTAGCACACCTTGTATTTGATTTCTTTATGTTATGTAAAATATGTATTGTATCTTGTTTAATTTAAGTCAATTAATTAATATAAAAAAATGTGATTACAAAAAGAAAATTACCCCATATATATATTTTCACAGTGACTTTTTTTCATTTTTAGTGCTTATTGTGAACCTTACAAAGCCTTAAAATTGGTTCAAAATCAATTCTAACAACTTGTGCATTGTGTCATATTTTCTAATTGAGCTTTGTTCTCTTCTCCTCTGTCTTTAGCTTTTTCTCTCTTGTCCTCTATTGTCCCACCAAGTCCTGTCTTCTCTACAATAAAGAGGAAAAAGGAAAATAAAAGACACATAGAAAATCTCTGGGCTAATAGAGCTGACAGTGATCCAGAGCCATCATGCGGTCACATAAAGTGAACCTCAGCACTATGATATTCCTAGTGATCCTGCAGGGGGCAGTAATGGTGCTATTCTTCAGCTGGTATATGGAGTTCAGTCACGGTGGTCATGCACCCTCAGATCACAAAGTCCACGTTCTGCTGCTGTCATCATGGCGATCTGGCTCTTCCTTCCTGGGTCAGGCGTTCAGTCAGCACCCGTCTGTGTTCTACCTCATGGAGCCTGCTTGGCATGTATGGAACATACTGCATGACAAAGGTGTAAGAGTGCTTCGTATGGCTATGAGGGATCTGTTTCGGGGCTTGTTTCAGTGTGACTTCTCTGTGATGGAGGCTTACCTACCAGAACAGCACAATATTTCAGACCTGTTCATGTGGTTTGAGAGTCGAGCCTTGTGTTCACCACCTGCCTGTCCTCTCACACCACGAAACCAGCTTAGCAACCAGACTAGGTGCAAGAAGGCGTGTGATGCTCGGGGTCTTCACCTGGCACAGGACGCCTGCAGCACTTACAGCCATGTTGTTTTAAAGGAGGTGCGATTTTTGGAGCTAGAATCCCTCTATCCACTCTTGCAAGACCCACACTTGGATATCCGGATCATTCACCTGGTTCGAGACCCCCGGGCTGTTCTGAGGTCTAGAGAGGCTACTGTGAGAGCCCTTGCAAGAGATGACACCATTTTGATGGGGCATGAGAACACACCACCAGTTGAGTTACAATATGAAGTCATGCAGGAGATCTGCCGCAGCCATATGCACATCAGTGAGAGGGCCATCCTGAAGCCTCCGCCTTTTCTTAAGGGCCGCTACAAAATGGTTCGCTATGAGGATGTTGCTCGCAACCCCATCGAGGAGATAAATGACATTTATGAGTTTGTAGGTCTTAAAATGACTCCAGAATTAAAGGAGTGGATCTACGATGTGACACATGGAAGGGGCAAAGGCAGCTGGAGAGAGGCCTTCGATGTTACATCAAGAAATGCTGCTGATGTGTCCCAGGCTTGGCGTAGCACGCTACCACATGAAGAAGTCAAACGAATACAGGAAGTGTGTAAAGAGGCCATGTCCATGTTCGGATACAGGACAGTTAACAGTGAGAAAGAACAGAAAAGTCTGGAAAAAGATCTTCTCAGGGCACGAGAGCTGAATCAGCTTGGCTGTTTGCAAAACACAACCACTTAAAACATGAGTTTCTGGGCACTGTAACTCAGCAGTCAAATTGCCCTAAAGACCGATCCAATGAACTACCAGAAGTAAATGAGCCATCATGACAAAGTCAAGTCTCCCTGGAACCTCTGGGGAGTTTTCAGCTGCAAGTTTTTCTCAGAAGTGATCCGTTTTCTGCTTTCACCTTATATGACTAACATCTCCTTTAACAACAGTTTTGACAGTAAATGGAAGAACGTGGAGTTTTCAGTCAAGGCAAACTCTAACTTTAACTTTGAACAAAATACCTGATTCAGCTTCATGAAGGGGCTTCTGAGCACAAAAGGACACTTAACATGGATTCACAGACAGAGGACTGCGATATCAAACGTGGATTAAAACTATCACAATTAACAGTAAATTAGCTTTTTTTCTGGTTGACTTATTCAATGCATTTTGTTCATAGTCAGCGGTCTGCATGATAGTGTGTTGATTAGCACTGTTGCCTCCGTAAAAGTTTTCTGTGTGGAGTTTGCATGGTATCCAGGAGTGAAAGTAGGATAAGGTTCTTGCAGGTACTGTACCCATAGGCTTTGTACAAGAGGAGCACACCCAAGTTTAACGAGGTGCCGACTCTGATATATTATCTGCTGCATCTCTCTTTCTCTAGAACATAAAATCAAAATTTCTCTGAATTTTGTTTTATTTCTGCATTACGATTAAAGAAACTGTCTCTTTAAAAGTTCCTTCCTTCCGCAAAAGTCGGGAGGCGATCGCCAGCGTCTAGGCAACCAGTGTCCAATCAAAAGTGCGCACTGAGCGCTCTGACTTCCGGTGTTTGTTTATTTGCGGAAGTAAATACTACTCACTCGCAAGCAGCATGGTGCTTTTGGATGACTACAGTTACAATGCAGAGTGCAGATTGACGTGCAGCAACACGGTAAGCAAATGTAGCCTACATACATTGCAGGGGTGAAAGTTTGCTTACCGCTGTGTACCAGCTGTGAACTGCTGGTTATGTCTTCCCGTACAACTTACTGCTGGGTACCGGCTTACTTTAACCCCTGATGGTATCCCTGTCGATGTGTGAGTTCCCTCCTACCTCCTACCTCATCACATATTTGAAGAAAAAGGTCGCTATAGCCTATAGCGACTTTAACTCTCAGCTGACCTCTCATACAGTAATATCTGACTGAGAATATCTGCAAAAAGCAGCAGCTCTCAGACAGTAATCTCCATCTGTGTCTGTCACATCCAAGGGCTCACTGTTTTTAGGAAACTGATCAAATCCCTCAAAAAGCAAGGTAATCAGGGATGATTTGTTCATTAACTTTAGTGAAACATTGACATTTCTGTTATTGGCTCCTTGTGCTGGATTAAGTATGCCAACTTTGTTTTGGTCTGTTGCCCAGTCAGAGGCTGTATCTATCTATAATGTTCAGTGAGAGGCCAGTGCGGCTGAAGACAGAGCTCGCTGTTTGAATGAATCCTCTTTAGTTTGTTGTAGTAGATCTGCACTTTATCTCCATACAAATACTTGTGAATCGTATCTACATGTGATTTTTTTATGTCCCATTTAACTAAACGTTCCATAGAAAAATAAGAAAATAAAATTGTTTTATTCATAATATGTTAAACATGTAATTACTTTGTTTGATCAAATGTGTCTGTATTGTGATTATTTTCTGTTAAAATTGCCATCTGAGTAAAATTTGTGTGGAAAAGGAGGTCCTCTTGTAACCGGGGTCATCTTTCATTCAGGTCAGTAAAATATTTCTCTTCCTCTCCCACCAATGTTATGACCTCTCCTTAAGGGATACTTTTTTTTATTAAACACTCAAGTGATGTTATCAGTAAGATATTCTGAAAAGAGGTGAAAAGGAGTCA